ATTATTTAATCTTTTCTTAAAGTTAAAAGGGGGGGGGGGGGGAATCTGAATGATCATCAACTGTTTGTTTACCGTATCTACTGTATTTAATATCTAGAATATAATATTTCCATAAACGTTCATGTCATGTACCTGTTGAGTTCTTCTCGGCTTTCCCGTTCGGTCTGGAAGTCTCTGCGGTCTCTGATCTCCTCAGGAGCATCGCTGTATTGCTGTCGGAGCTCCTGGATCACAGAGCTGCGGAGTGCCGCTCTCTTCTGTTTATCGATCTGCTCCTTCTGCCGGTCTGCTTCTGTCATGTCTCCGTCTGTGTATGGACAGGGCAGGGTTTGGGATGGGTATTAACTATCAGTGCTATTGTATGTCTCTACATCGAAATCCTCAAGTTAGGTAACCAACGTGAACTGCTACAAAATCAAAAGGCTTACCATAGTGCACTGGAGCAATTCGAGGAGGTACGTATTTCCTGCTGGCTGAGGGATCTTTTAGCCCCTTTGAGTTTCCTCCATTGTCGTCCTCATCGGAGTTCTCAGATTCACTCAGCTATGTGTGAAAGAAACGCAGCAATGGTTTGGTAAATGATATATACAGACAGAGCTGGGTAGTGACTGATTACACGTAATCTGGATTACGTAATCCGAATTCAAAAAATTAAGTACTTGTAATTAGATTAAATTACATTTTAAAATACCTGTTATCGGATTACATGATTATTTATTATTTACACAATAGCAATACATTTTCAATAATCAACTACTGATGAACACATACATTTTTATTTGAATTATCACTCAGTTGTTTAGTTTTTTTTTTACCATGTATTACTTTGGAAGGCCTTTGTATTTCAAGCACATTCATCAATTCACCAGCTTTTGTGTCATCTGATCCTCTTTCACCTAATATATTTTGATTTGAAGTCGCCCTGAAATTTTAAAATAAATATTCTAATAATGAAGTATCACATTTGCATGTTCACGGTTCTCTGACACTGGTTTTGGACACATGACAGGCAAATAAAAGATTTAATTTTTTCAGTAAGGGTTTGATTTTGATTCATTTTAAAATTGTTTTTATTGAACATTTTTTTGATTTTTTACCTATTAGCTTTCCATTAAACTCCCGGCAGTTCCTTCACAAACCCAGTTTGGGAAACCTTGACGTAATGTTTAATGCACTTCATGTTGATAACAACAAATGGAATAGATTTTCTTACTCTTTGTATTTTTATATCAATATGGTACACGATTATCCTATTTAAATCAAATAGGTTCATCTAAAAGTAGTCTGATTTTATTACCTAAAATGTGTAATGTAATAGATTATGATACTAACTACGATTTTTGTCATGTCATTTGGAATCAGGTAGGCCAGGTTACAATTAGATTAAATTACATTTTAAAATACCTGTTATCGGATTACATGATTATTTATTATTTACACAATAGCAATAGATTTTCAATAATCAACTACTGATGAACACATACATTTTTATTTGAATTATCACTCAGTTGTTTAGTTTTTTTTTTACCATGTATTACTTTGGAAGGCCTTTGTATTTCAAGCACATTCATCAATTCACCAGCTTTTGTGTCATCTGATCCTCTTTCACCTAATATATTTTGATTTGAAGTCGCCCTGAAATTTTAAAATAAATATTCTAATAATGAAGTATCACATTTGCATGTTCACGGTTCTCTGACACTGGTTTTGGACACATGACAGGCAAATAAAAGATTTAATTTTTTCAGTAAGGGTTTGATTTTGATTCATTTTAAAATTGTTTTTATTGAACATTTTTTTGATTTTTTACCTATTAGCTTTCCATTAAACTCCCGGCAGTTCCTTCACAAACCCAGTTTGGGAAACCTTGACGTAATGTTTAATGCACTTCATGTTGATAACAACAAATGGAATAGATTTTCTTACTCTTTGTATTTTTATATCAATATGGTACACGATTATCCTATTTAAATCAAATAGGTTCATCTAAAAGTAGTCTGATTTTATTACCTAAAATGTGTAATGTAATAGATTATGATACTAACTACGATTTTTGTCATGTCATTTGGAATCAGGTAGGCCAGGTTACAATTTGTAAGTAATCTACCTAGCTCTACTTATAGAAAAAAAAAAAGACTTTTATTAAAAATATGCACAAATCAATTTAATTAAAAGGAACATTACCTTGCTGACCAGATTCTGAGGATTAGGGCGAAAGTGTAGAGGGTCATTCTCAGCTGAAAGAAACACCATCAATCAAGGCAGTAAACTTGTGGATGAGTGTTCTTAATATGTGCAATCAATGACAAAAAGTGTAAGAATGGAAGACTTACCAAGGCTGCCTGTTACTGCGGTCCGCACTAATTTATCAATCTGATATTTCAGCTTTTGATCTAGTGGACGCATCTTCTCTAAAACCTATACAACAAAAACAGACAGAGGAAAATTCTCCTCAAACACAGGCACAGCAATTAAAGTAGTCTGCTGTGACAAGTATATACTGATTTACAACTGATGTGACCTGATCCATACATTTAATTGCATTTTCATTATATATGAAAGTCAGAAATAACCAAGAAAGACAGGATTCATTTCTAAAATATTATGGTATCAATATATTTGATTTGATGCCAGAATTGCCAGTATTTGTTTATTTAGAGAATGAATTGATTCATCTGAGGCATTTGACAAAAATGTTGTTTTAACAAAGGGGTGGGAATGACAAAATTGTAATCAAATTAGGGTATATCAGGGGCGGCTGTCACTCTAAAGGACCCCCTTGCCACAGTTCACCTCTGCAGAGTACATCAGTGTCAGACAGGCTCTGCTAAGTTTTAGTTTTAGAATATTTTAAATCCTAATGTTAATATTTCCCTTGTCACAGCCATGATATGTCAACACCATCTTCCAATTTCTGAGGAAATTATTTGAAATATTTAGATAATTTTATTCTCCTGAAGCAGGTTCCATCGGCATCTAGCATCAACAGAAAAAAAATTAAATGGCTACCACATGAACTCCATTGGTTTTGTGAAAGAAATGCCAAATTTGTCAACACCGTCAGAGATGTCACCACCATAAGATTTTGTGTTCCAATGATACATCAAAATACTTCAATGTGACTCTTGAATAAAAGCTTTATAAACAATAACATACTCACTGTTCGTTTTAATACAGTAATTGACTGATTCAATGCATTTGATAGTTAAAATAACTACAAATTCAGGTTTTTGTCAACTCCGTCAGTTCTGTCACCTCCGTCAGTTGACTATTTTGATAATATTTCATTATGATATTTTATATTTGTTGTGGAATTGTTGGTCACATGTGAAAGTGTAATCTGTCTGCTAACACGAGAATGTGTTTTGAAATGTTAAAAACACCTTGAATGCTGTTAAAGATAAAGCTGAAATTATATTACACAGTCCAAGGTAAAAAAAAAAAAAAGCACATTTTGTTAAAAAAGAGAAAAGTTGGGGGGTTGTATCAAAGAATAGCTCAGTAGCTTAGTACATATAAAACACATAAATGTAGTTTCATTTGTCTGCGTACAAGGTTTTATCCCACTTCTCAAGAATGACTGAGATATCAAACATTTCTAGAAGATTGTGAAGGTGTTTAATATGTAAGCAATATCATAAAAATACTTCTACCTTTGAGGTCTGATAAGCTTTCTCTCTGACTTTCTTTATCAGGTCCCGGACATGACTTGTTACTGAAGCAACCTGAAAACAAGGCAGCGTCGATCACCATTACATATTCTCATATCTTTATGACCAATTGTGATGCTGAACTCAAAATAAGACCGTATAAAATCATCTAAAGCAGAATATGCAGGTTCTGTGACATTACAGACCTGTTCTGTGAGACTGTTGAGTAGACGCACAGCAGTGGGAAGATCATTGTCTAAAAGATCCTGCAAAATACAACTACATTAGTTAAGTGTTTCGCTGAGAACATAGATCATTAAGACCAGCAGGTTAGCCAATGGACAGTTTCATCATATTTTGTCATTTATCCGCGAAATAATAAACAATTCCACGACATGGAACATGATAAAAAACACTTTAATCTATGTTTAGGTTCAATTTATTTAGAATAACTCACGTTTCCAACGGTGGTGGCCGCCATCTTGGCTTAACCAAGTTGATACGGATGCCACGTAGGGACAAAACTCAGCGCACGCAATTCAAAAATCGTCTTGTGACAAATTGATTCCCCCAATTAAATCACTGTCTATAGTTCTTCTAAAGGATCCATTTAAATGTCTAGCTTGATAATAAGCACAAAACAGAGGTATTATGGCAAATGTAACATTATGACACTGTTAATAAAACAGACATGTTTAAAGCTAATGCAATCCAACCTATTAAAACTAAAATGATTATCTCTTTAAAAAATCTTAGAAGAATAGAAGAATCAGTAACACTAAACACAAATTCACTATTAACTAATTTTTTCCCCTCAATAAACTAACTTGCTTATTTATAGTAAGTAGTTGTTGTTGTAGTTGGGCAGAGTTATGCAGAATAAGACATTAATATGTGCTTTATGAGTACTAATAAATAGCCAATATGCATGCTAGTAAGCAACCAGCTACATGTGCATAGTGTTCCCTCATCTGTGTTACCAAAGAATCATACATTTACATTTATATGCTTGTTTCAGACACTAAGATACATGTTGTGAGTGTATGCTTGAAAGAATTAGCTTCACTAGCCTTCTCTATACTTTTTCTATTCTATCTTGTTTTCTTTTTGTCATATCTATGTATATACATATATAAAACTTGCTAACTGCGTTATATTATTGCTCTTTTGTTGGGTTTGATTGTTTCTATTGTCATCACTTGTAAGCCGCTTTGAATAAAAGTGTCTGCTAAATGATTAAATGTAGAATGCAAATGTAGAATTACATCCATAATAAGAGGAAGAGAGAGGCACAAATACATCCAAAATGGTGTTGATAATGATATGAGATGAGAAACAGGCTTACAGAGG